AATTTTCAAAATGTGTAATAGATTTTAAGCTCCATGAGGGCAGAGGTCATGTTTTCTTCAGCTTTCTATCATAAGTATCATGGATAGTGCTGAGAGTACAGAAGCTGTTAATAAATGATTTGATGCATAATAGGTATTATTGAAATGACAATAAAGAAAAGGTCAGTTTGGTGGAAATTTTCTGATTTGCCTGCTTATCTACAATATTTCTTGTTCTGTCAATAGCCCACAGTTGTTTTGGGCAAGGGCTTCTCCACCACTTTTTGCCTACGTGGTCTGGCTTGATCCTTGATGTTCAACTCATGGATTTAACCAGTGGAACTGTGTTTTGCTCAAACTATTGGAAGCAAGACACGCTTTTTTAAGTATGAATTACTAAACTGATAGAAAATAATCTTAGAGCTTCTGGTGGCCATCTTTGGCTCCACTTTAAGGAAATTGAATGACAATAAAACCAACACAAAGAAAGAGCTAAGAGATGGACACCAATAGCTTGGTGAGATCCTTTGATCATTTGGTTTGAGCTATGCCTGAATCCAAGCTATACCTGGACTTTCCAATTACATGACCTAACAAATCCCTTGTCCACAACTATTTTGTTTTATTTTGTTTCTCTTAAGCCAGTTTGGGTTATGTGTGAGTGCTGAATAGAGTTCTAAATTAAACAGAGACTTTATGCTGACATTTCTTATCATAGGTTTGCCAACAGTTTTGAGAATAATGAGAAGTAGTAATTTTTAATGAAAATTGATCCTTATTCTATGCCAGCAGCCTGAAGAAATCATTGCCAATAGTTATCAGTACTTATGAATTACTTCTAGTTTTCAAGAACCTTTTACCCAGATAAAAGTTTCTGAATCCAAAGGAATTTAAGGGGCTTTCTACTGCAGTACATTGAACTCATGAACCCAATGTGTTCTCTATAGCCAAGATTTCTTTTTCCTTTGTTCATACACTTCTACCCTCCCATTTTAAGATCACATACCCTCATTTACCCCTGTTTTTCTGTCATCTTTGGTCATGTATATTTAACACAAAGTGCCTTGTTATGGGCTCATCAGTGTATACAGATTCCTACCAGTTCAGAGTCTTTTGAAAGAAAATTGGGTCCTCTGACAGAGATAATAATTCTGTCAATAAGTGGTTATTCTGAAGCTTTGAATTTATTCATAAACAACACTTTCCACAAGTTGGCTGTGTATAAACACTTCTTAGGAAATTTGTCACTGTATTTCCATGAGACACAATCTTGAAAATTTAATAGAAGACCTATTTTCTCAACATGCCTTCCATAAGTTAAAAATTAAAGACTTATAAGGGCCATGTGAGTCCTTAGATTTAAATCTTTCTCTGTAGGGCCATAAATCTGTGGTAGAAAACAGATTATGCAATGCTTACATATTTAATTTTTTTCTTCTATAGGACTCTGCATTTAGAATGTAATCATTCTCTATTCTTTTTTTTTTTTTTTAAGTTTATTTATTTATTTTGAGAGAGAGCAAGAGCAGGGAAGGGGCAGAGGGAAGGAGAGACAATCCCAAGCAGGCTTGCTTTGCACTGTCAGAACAGAGCCCAATGCGGGGCTAGAACTCACGAACCGGAAACCAAGAGTCCGACCCTTAACCTAGTGAGCCACCTAGGCGTCCCTCATTGTCTGTTCTTAATTTCTAAGTTTCTAAGACATTTAATATTTGCCGTGGTGCCTCCTTTTACCCTATATTTTGAACTAGAAAGAAAACATTTGTGCTTTCCTCCACAAAGTTGTGCCTTTTAAAAATTTTAATAAGATGCCTGTCTTCCTTTTTCTTTTTTTTTTTTTCTGTATATGGTGCTTATCTTTTAGCAGAGGTGAGACCCCCATATTGGACCCTTAAATATTTGTTCCATGAATACATCTGTTTGTATATCTTTAGATAGCTTTTACATAAGAGACCTTGTATTTGCAATAAGTTTGTGTTTGTTTTACTTGAAGTGCAATCTCTTTAACTTTTTATTGCATACATAGGCAATTATATGGTATAAAATATTAGTGCTTGCTATGAGCCAAACACTGTTCAAAGTGCTTTCTGTGTATAATCACATTTATCCTCATAATAATCTATAGATTAGCAGCTATTATTACCCCCATTTTATAGATGAAGAGTCTGAGGCACAGAAGAGTTAAGTAACTCGCTTAATGGTATATTGCTAGTAAGTAGTAAAGACAGGGGTTGAACCCAGGCATTCTAGCTGCAGAGTCTAAACTCCTAATCTGCAAAATCTGAGCTTTTAACCACTGTTCTATGCTATCAGTCATTCAGTTATGCTGGTAATTTAGGCATAGATTAAAACAAAATACAACAAACACACACATAAAAATGAAAATAAAATAGAGCTCTTTCTAAAAAATATATATTATAAATATGTTTAAGTATACATGCATTTAAATATACACTTAGATAATCATGCCCAAACATACACAGAAAGAATTACCTTTGGATCTACACATATACTTTTTTATTCCTATTTCTATATTTCTATTCTTTTCTCCCAAAGTATCAAATATTAACATATCCAATTAAAGTGATTTTATTTTCTCAGAGCCAAATTCCAATGCAGACACAAAATATATGTATCAGTAGCTATACCTTTGGCCATAAAATACTACAAGATATCTCTCAGTTCTTCTTCCATGGTCTTTTATTTCCCAAATATTCCCAACCTCCAATTTCAAAGAAGCGGTTATATTATTATTCCCACGTTTATATGCAAGAAGGAATTGCTCCCACTGTGAAATAATGAAAAGAAAATCTTTCATACTTTCTTTCTCATCATCATGGGTATTGGGTTGTGCCTTTACTTTTCAGTTGAACACGAGGTAGAAATGTCAGTAGCAGGAGCAAGGGGAGTAATTTCACTTATAAGAATTTATAACATAAATGCATTACATAAATGCAAACAAGCATTTCCCTTGACTATAGGATGGCTGTCCAAAAAAGAGGCCAGGGGAGCACCTGGGTGGCTCAGTTGGTTAAGCATCTGACTTCGGCTCAGGTCATGATCTCATGGTTCATGCATTCGCGCCCCATGTCAGGCTCTGTGCTCACAGCTGAGCCTGGAGCCTGCTTTAGATTCTGTACCTCCATCTCTCTCTGCCCCTCCCCTGTTCACGCTCCGTGTCTTTCTCTCTCAAAAATAAATAAACATTAAAAAAAAAAAAAAAAAAGAAGAGGCCAGGTGCCCACAGTATTCTAGAATAATGGGCTGCCATTAAGAAGCATAGATTATAACTGCTTCTGAATACATTTTACTAGTTCCAACCTGACTTATTGTTGAGCAAGGCTGAACTCTTACTTGCCTGATCATCACTTTCTGTTCCTTTTCAACATATGTGTATATACTTATCATCGAAATAGCAGGAGAGAGTGAAAAAGTGGCCTTTTGGAGGCAGTCAGGCTTGGGTTCCAATGTTAACTTCTTCTTCATTGGGTCAGTGGGCAAAGGATGATCACATACTTTTTCATGGATTTATCATTTGAAAGGAGCCCTCACTGGGCTGTTTGAGAGGATTCACCGAAATGCCTGCCACATCCTGATTTTTAGCAGTGGCTCAGGAAGTATGAATTTTAGTTCCTTCTCTATACCCTATATTAAACAATTACCATTTGAAAATATTTACCTTCCTTTCCTAACTTCCATCACTGCTGATGGGTGCAGTCAATACTGAACTCACTGAGTTGTGATAGGAGAAATGATGCTGCAGTTCTCCTTGCAAGGGTTATTAGTTTTCAAAAGACTATACTCGATGGGGGTGCCTTGGTGGTTCCGTGGGTTAAGCAATCTGACTCTTGATTTCAGCTCAGGTCACAATCTGACGGTTCGCGAGTTTGAGCCCTATGTTGGGTTCTGCACCGATGACGCAGAGCCTGCTTGGGATTTTCTCTCTGCCCCTCTCTCTCAAAATGAATAAAGTTAAAAAGAAAAAAGGAAAACAAACAAACAAACAAACAAAAACTAACCTCAGTGGAATATAGTACTTTTGGGCTAGGATATCTTGCATGTAATGTGTAAGTAATTCGGGTGAACGGAGTGATTTTAAAGAGAGTTGGTCCCAGATCGTAGTTGCTCTCAAATAGTGATAGTCAAGGAAGAAAATAGATTGCCTCGCGATGAGTAACAAAAAAAGAATGCAATAAAAAAATTATCTGCCAGCTATTTCCTTATTCTCTAACTTTTATGAGGTCTATGTACACTCTGCTAAATTCTTGGTGACACCTCGAAGACCAAACCACAGTGGACAGACGATGACGGGGGTAAACACAGAGAAGTTGCTGCTGTGACCGGAGCGCCAGATCTCCTGCAGAACTGTGGTGCTGTCTGAGGCAGACAACACCTAAACGCTGAGATAGGGAGATAAGTTCTGATGGCTGTGATTACACATGCATATGTCCCCTGATTTGCCAAAACGGCAGCTGAGGAGGCATCACTTCCATGTATGGAGTTTGTGCACCATTTGTGTTTGTACCTAGGGGCAAGACAGGTTAATAAGGCCAAGAAGAAGGAGGGGAGGACGTGGGAGTGGGTAATAACCGGGGAGCATCAACCTGGGGGGAAAAGGAGGAGGTTTGAGGATGGAGGGTGTTCCCTCTTGCTTCTGCCTATGTGTCAAGTGGCAGGAGAAATTTTGAAAGCTGTGAGGAGGAGCTAGTGACCGGGCTTTGGGGTGTTTTGTACCCCACCCTCCCCACTTGTAGGAAAACCTCTTTACATTCAGAAGTAATTGAATTGGAAGGAGGAAGACTGACCTGGGAATAGGAGGAAAGCAATTCTCCCGCGGCTCCATCTCCTGTCTCTTATCACTGGCCTCCTGACTCTCTTCCAAACCAAGCTCGGCTGCATCAAGGTGGCAGCAGAAACACCCCACACAATTGCCAGCCATTGGGAATCTGCTTAAGCCACCCTGTGCATCCCAAGCTGCCCTATTATCCAGCCACCATCCCTGACCATTGGGACCACTTCTGATGGCTGTGGCCTCTGCTGCCCCAGGGAGCATCTTCCGTAAGCAGCTCCTTTTCTGTCTCCTGGTGAGTAACAACCAAAGGATCAAGGAATTCATGCATGTTACTACGCGCTTCCTCCCTCTAGTTTGGGCTTGAAAGGGAGCAGGGGTGGCAGTGGAAGGCCCAGAAGATAGACTGAGAAAACAAAAACAGATCTGAGAAAAACCCAAGCAAGAGCTGAGATACATGTGACCCGGGATAGCAGGTGTTTTGTTTATTCTTCGCATGCCCACTGCCAGCATGTTGAAGTTTTTCAAGGGAATCCCTGTTCAATCTTGCTGTGGTGTTTTCCTAAGGAACATTGGAGTGAATTCATTCCTTGGGCATTTGTCCCAGAAGGTTCTGAGGTTTCCTCTCACTACCAGTCATTAAATGCGCTGTAGTTGTTTGTCACGCTTAGTTCCACTGAGCTGCAAGAGGAGGAGAAGGAAGTCTGGGTGGGGATGTGTATTATCCAGGACTTTCATTTTACCCACCCGAAGCTAAGAGAAGTGCAGAACTCCCAGTTCAAGCAAGGGGTTTAACTTGAGAAAAACAATAAAGAAAAATGTGACAGCCATTGAAAACAATCCATGACCTTGGCTTCCACTTGGGTTTTCATAGCTTCATAAGTGTGTACTCAGGTGCTATTTTTCTTTGGCGGGGATGAGGGAGAGGAGACTTGTCCCATATCTCTATCTGGCATTTCTGAGCTGTGCATTTTCTTTCTTTCTCTCTCTCTCCATTTTAGTTTCAGAATTTAAAGATTTTACTGTATGGGGATAAACATTTTCTCCATATAAATATATGATGCAGGGTTGATGGTCAGATTCTCATTCTGTAACTGCCTGGGGGAGACAATAACAACAACGTCAGAGACCACCTTGAGTTAGCAGTAGGTAAAATGTGGTGAAAGATTTTTGAGGGACTCGTCCAGTTTTCTTTTGCTTCTGGTCTCTTCTGTGTGCAGTATCCTTTGGATCATCCCTTGCCCATCCATCCCTAACCCCCATAATAATTAAAAGGTGTCTGACCCCAGCTCCCTGTAAATCATTAAGCTGTTAATTTAAGTTGAAGACTGGAGTAGTACTTCCGGTGACCTCCACTGGCTTTGCCTACAGAGGCAGAAGCAAACAAGTGGGGATCGTAGGGCAGGTAGGAAAGAAGATGGTTGTGGGAGTAGGGATGTGGCTATATCCTATGAGAATAATGTATGTGTATATATAGGCTAGACATGTGTATACATACAAACACGTGCATATACAGATACAGACGTGTGCACACACACACACACACACACATATATATATATTTTGTCAATTACAAAATAGTCTTTCTACATCATATATTGAGATCGTTACTAATAGAATTCTTTATGTTCTGAAAGTTCTTGAGATATAAATGTAGTTTATTCCTTGGCATTAGGGATGAGTATATTAAAAAGTCAAATAAATAAGAATGTCTTATGTTTAAATACCTACCTTGTGCTAGACACTGAGTTTGTAACAGAGAACAAGGCAGGTGTGTTTTTTCCCCTTAAGTAACTTGCAAGCTCTTGGAAGAGAGGCCTGGAAACAGAAAGATCATTAGGTGACTATATGATCAGCCTGCTGCTACATTCCAGGAAGGAAAATGTGTGGAGTTGTAAAAACATTACAGGGAAGCTAAAAAAATAATAATAATATAATTAATTCATTAATTAAACTGAGTACAAATGTAACTTTTTAAATTCCAGTGTTTGGTATTATTTGCCTAACAGTGTTTTTGTAAAACTACAAACTATTTAAATAGGCTGATGCAGTATATCCAAGTATGGATAATAATGCCCTCTTTCGCTCCCAAATAATAGGTCCCATAACTAGAAATATGTCCTCAGAAAAAAATCATAATAAAATTGACCTGTTCCTGGGAAATCTAGCCCTGCTATATCTTGTATTTAAACAATCAAAAAGCAGTCATAGTGGTAAACAGGAGAGAAGGCAAATAAATACAGAATGTGAAGAGAAAGAAGCAAACTGTATTTTGAACCTGACAATACTTTTAAACTAGTAACTTTTTCCCCCAAGTGGTCTGTCTTTTTTCCTTTGACTATCTAGCTGTTTAAAACAATAGTTGTGTCTTGAATTTAATTACAGATCTTTACCCTGTTGAAGGCTACTCTCTATATTTTGAATTATATTTCTTTTTAGACTAGTTTTTTGGTTTGAGAACATTTAAACTTTGATGTTTATGCCAAGCCAGTCCCAGGAGCCACCTGAGATGAGTGAATATTTGTGGGTGGTGTTCTTTACAAGGTTAAAAAAAATCCTCCAATGGTTTCTAGCCTTAATCAACTACAATCTCGAATTGTGTGGGGTTGTGGAAATAATTTGTGTATAAATATTGGATCATTAAATTCTCAAGTTAAGTGCTTTCTTCACGCTAAGAAGTCACAGTAACATTTATAATTGGTCTTAGAGATGATAACCTTTATATAAAATCAATGGTTTGTAAGCCATTTCTTACAAATGACACAATATGATTTGGGTTCTAAGAACTCCTATTCACTCTAATTTTTCATTGATACTGAATGACTATGGTGCCCCTAAAGCCATTTCCTTTGCTCTTCCCTTTTAAAATGAATATGAAAAATGCTGAAGGACTAGAAGATAAATTTGTTTCTGAAGTTGACACGATTTTTATCAATAAGATGAAACTGTAACGTGAAAGTTTGTGATCAAATATAATTCCTGATTTTTTTTTCTTTTTTCTTTTTTGAGGTTTTAATATTATCTTGCGATGCTTGTCGGAAAATTTCTCTTCAAGTTCCTTCTCATCTTCAGGCTGAAACACTTGTAGGCAAAGGTGAGAAACAGTATTAAAACAGTATTATAGTTTTCACTGCTATATCGAGCTTCAGGGTGCTCTAGTAAACTTTGGGATAAAGCCATGTAGTAGCTACTTGGCATTAAAATTCGACCTAAAATGAAAGATGGACTACTCTGTTTTGGTAGTGGTTAGAAACAATTAAAGTACCAAGTTAGTTGTATACTTTTCTTGCCAGAGAGTTAGCAAACATCAAAGCTCTAAATTGGCTTAGTTCAAATGAATAAAGGCACCAAAACCAGAAGCATATCTTAATCCGTATCAGCTAATCTGCTGCCAAAATTCCAAAGCCAGTTGTTCTTTAATTGATTAGATATAAAACAAATGTGTCAAATTTAAATGCCCCCACATCATATTTGTGCTTAAGGTTGATTATAATGAACAAATATTCACCAAGAATTTGTGATCTATGACACAGAATAGCTTGTGAAAGTCAAAATTGCAACAAATCTTACTCTCAGAGCCGTCCCTAAAACGTAGGTTGGTTGGTCCGAGTCCAAGGCTCACATTCCTTCCATCAAGGTTTTTCATTGGCCTTAAGTTTACGTCTTCAATACAGCAGTGGTATCCTTTCCAAGACAGACATCGTTTGCCCAGTGCTTTGAAGTTTTAAATTAATCCACTGCCTTATACCTTCTAAAAACACTTAGAAAGATAAACAATCTATATTTTATAGGCATATAGCAAATATGCTAAATATGTTAAATATGAATCTGTAAAGGAAATATTTTGATAACAACCACAATATATACTAAGTATTACTTAAGTATAGACTAGTTTTCTTACTTTTTGCAAGACAGTTTTAACTACCAAAGATTATTGCAAACAAGCTCCAAATTTACTGATATCATACAGTTATACTACATATAAAATGATAAATTTGTGTATATATATATATCTGTTATATATATATACACAAATTTATATATATGTGTATATGTATACACACACACACACACACACACATATATATATATATGTACAAACCCATAAATAAGAGTTCAAGTGGAAACAGTAAATCCAGGGACACTAAGAAAATATTTTATATCTATTCACAAATTAATTTATGATGAAAATACTAGAAACCATGACTCCATTTATTTAATTATTTAATTTCCATGGCCCCTAAATTTTATAATAGTAGGTACTCAATAAATTCCAAGGGTAACCTCCCTCTTGCTGCTTCTCAAGCACTCACAGTTGCCAGTCCTGTAAAACTTGTTCTATTCCTGTTTTATTTTACAAATTACTGTGAATTTCTTCCCTGCAGTGAATCCAAAAGAATGCTTCCAGTCAGCCAGCCTAATTCTGTCAAGTGATCCCGACTTCAGAATTCTAGAAGATGGCTCCATCTACACAACACATGACCTCATTTTGTCTTCTGCAAGGAAAAGCTTTTACATTTCTCTTTCAGATGACCAGAGACAGGAACAGAAAGAGATAGAAATTGTACTGGATGTGAGAGGAAAGAAGGTATATAGGTCAAGACTTAAGTGTAATACTCTGCTTTATGAGAACTCTTCATTTCATAGATTTCCTTCCACGTTAAAATCATTGTTCCTGAATGCTCGCTTGTTTGTTTATTCTACTTCTAATTAACTTATGTAAAGACTAGACAGTTTTAAGGCGTGGGAGAGCTATTTGCAAAATGGTGTAAGAATGAACAGCTCTGGGGCCGGGGAGCAAACTCAGAATATCATAGGTTTCAGATAGTGGTTTGAGGTGTGGCTAAAAGCACAACCAACCTGAAGAACAGGCAAGGGTGGGTCTAAAACTCAGTGGAAATGGATTCAGGTTGGAGGTGTGGCACTCTACCCTGAGTGGCTTTCTCCCAAGTGACTATGGGTTTCAGTCTCTTTAAAGAGATTCTCTAAAGCTTACTCCCAATTTAATAGACAATTCCACCGGTCAGTTTCCTCAGAGAATGAAGTATAGCCAGTCCACAAGATTGGTTTGAATGTTCTGGCTCTAGGCTCATTTTCCTGATGTGAGTAATAGTGATCAAAGAGTGGGAAGGGAGAGGTTACTGAAATTCACATAGGTCTCACTTTAACCAAATTCTGCCCAATGAATCGGTTTTATGAAATAATTTATTAATAAGTGATTTGATTTATGGGAGACCCCCCCTCTAGTTAAATTCCTTTGGATTATAAGAATTCTTCACCAAATTTAGAATATGCTTACATATTAATATGCATTACATATATTACAAATTTAGGAAAAGGCTTGTAAAACATTATTTCTTATTAGAGAGTTTTCACATTACATAAAATAAAATATACTTGAACAAATGCTGACCTCTGTCTCTGTATAGTTATACAAATGCTTCGCACCATAGTTAGTATTTTAAAAAATGTCGGTTGTACCACTCCTAACGGAATAAAACTAATTTTTAGCTTTTGTTAACAGATTACCTATTTTTAGGGGGTATATACTCCTCAAGATGGCATCTTTCATCCATGCCTTACAAAGTTCTGGTTGATTAACTCATTAAATCAGGTGAAACTGGTTCTTAAGCGTGTGTATGAATCTTAGTAATACAAAACAGAAATGGTGAGGGTATTACCTGTGATCTTGTTATGTACAACTCTTATTTTCCTCATGTTAATGTACATGTGAAAATCACAGTTCCTGATGACAGGCAGTATTGTATTTCTTCATGTCTCATCGCACGCAGGTTCCCAAGAAGAGACACACAAAAGACCCAGTTCTCAAGCGCAGCAAGAGGCGATGGGCCCCTATTCCCTGTTCACTGATGGAGAACTCCTTAGGTCCATTTCCGCAACATGTTCAGCAGGTACATTTTACCTCGTTTGACTTTGTAGAGTGGAGGCTTTTTGCTTGTTTATTTTTAAAATTTTGCTTGTTTATTTTAAAATTCAATCCATTTGAATTGAATCAAGACTTTAAGCTGTTTGTACTAATAAGGATCATCTATTCACCAGAACTAGAAAAGAATCAGTGTGTTTTGTCACTTTCCTCCAGAAATCATATTTAACATTCAGCAACAAGTTTCAGATACTGAGTTGTTGATGCTCTTGGGTCTATATCCAGATTCTCCTGAATAGTCTACCAGAATTTAGCATTCTTGGACAGAGGACATGCCTAGCAGATTTTGCATAATTCAACTGTCCCTTTCATTAATACTTATCCAGGGTGCCTAGCTGGCTCAGTGGGTAGGATATGCGACTCTTGATCTTTGGGTTGTGAGTTCAAGACCCACGTTGTGTGTAGAGATTACTTAAAAATAAAGTCTTTAAATAAATAAATAAATAAATAAATAAATAAAGTTATCCACACAGAAAAGACCAGTATTTTTGTTGATCAAAAAGGTGGCATCACTGTCAGATAGCTGGAGTGTAAAAGTAGGTCAGGTTTGAAATTATGAATTAATTGTGGGAGGAAAGTTGCATTATTTCTATTTTTTTAATCAGAAATGTTTCCATTCCAAATAACTCAACACACTGAAATTGTTCCTATACTTTATATACTAATAATAATTAAGTGAATAGGAATTGTAAAGGTATAGCTCCAAGATTTCCCATAAATATGCAGATCACTCAAAAGAATTTGGGATCCAATAGATGATTGAGTTTGTGGCTTTGCACGTTGCAGAAGATGAATAAGAATTTAGAAAAATATGGGAGATGATGAGAAAATAAGTAAGGGAAAGAAAGAGTAGGCGAATAGGAAAGAGAGGAAGTGCTAAAAATGGAAACATCACCACATATTAGGTTGAAGATGTTTATCATCGCATATTTGTTCTTTTCCTAAATTGTCACTTATTGTTACAGGTCCAATCTGATGCTGCACAGAACTACACCATCTTTTACTCCATAAGTGGACCAGGCGTGGACAAAGAGCCCTTCAATTTGTTCTACATAGATAAGGACACAGGAGATATCTTTTGTACGCGAAGCATAGACCGTGAGCAATATGAACAGTTTCCGGTAAGATTATTGGATTGTTTATTCAGAATTACCTTTCAAATAACTGTATTAATATTTTCAATGCTGCTTATTTGCATGTTAGAAGAATCAATTATTTGACTTAATATTTAAATATTATCAATATATAACATAAACTTCAAATTTCTATTAGTACCATTGATAAAGAAAGATAATGGATATCATAAGAGAAGAAAGGGGAGAAAATGTAATGATGAGCCATCCTGGGTGGCTCAGGATGTTAAGTGTTAGACTTTTGATTTCTGCTCAGGTCATGATCTCACAGTGAGTTTGAGCGTGGAGCCTGTTTGAGATTCTCTCTCTCTCCCTCTCTCTGCCCCGCCCCTTCTTGCTCACGCTTTCTCTCTCTCTCTCTCTCTCTCTCTCTCTCTCTCTCTGTCTCTCTTTCTCTAAATAAATAAATAAACTTAAAAATTTTTAATGTAATGACAGAATTTTATTTATTTTTTTTTTAATTTTTTTTAACGTTTATTTATTTTTGAGACAGAGAGAGACAGAGCATGAACGGGGGAGGGGCAGAGAGAGAGGGAGACACAGAATCGGAAGCAGGCTCCAGGCTCTGAGCCATCAGCCCAGAGCCCAACGCGGGGCTTGAACTCATGGACCGCGAGATCGTGACCTGAGCTGAAGTCGGAGGGTTAACCGACTGAGCCACCCAGGCGCCCCGTAATGACAGAATTTTAAATGAAAGGCTTTGATCTATAGAATCTTGGGACAATAGTAAATTCTGTTGAGTTTTAATTTCCCTATAATAGCATCGTTCAACTAGTCTCAACCCGACTGTACATTATAAATCACATGAGAACTTTCTAAACACTACTGATGCTCAGGTCATTTCCCAGAAATTCTGATTTAATTGTTCTGGGATGGGGCACAGGCAATTAAAAATTTGAAGTTACCCAGTGTAATTCTAAACGTATCCTAAGATTGACATTCACTGCTTTCACTTCTTGAATAATATTGTGCTTCTTCTCTTCTCTCTGACTATCCTCCAGCCATGAAAACCTATGATATTTATTTTCCTTCTTTGGTAATCCAGAATAAGTTTACCAATTCCTCTTAGTCTATCTAATTTGACCCAAAGGAAAATTTTAGCTCTTCTGAGAATTACATATTTTTTTTTCTCTTTCAAACTTCACATATTTCCTTATGTTCGGATGTCTAATCTGACATACAGGAGAAATTCAGAGTGAGTTTCAGGGAGATGATGAATTAAATTGTTTAAGCATTAAGATATGTGAATTATGAGTATAATGAAAGAACTCTTTGATAAAGGAGTACATAAAAGGGAAAATTATCTCATACTTGGGCAGTCCAGACAGTAACATCTTAGATATCTGGAACGTAAGTAGGAAGTGGTAGCTGCATAAAGGCAGCCGTGAAAGAAGTTAATGATTGGGGGTGGGGTAGGGTAGAGGGTGGACACCCTATCCTAAGGATGTCAAAGCACCGTATAAGGTGGTGAAATTTTTAGAACAATACTAACGGCCCACTTTAGGGATTTCATAATTAAATTAAATGACTGGATCAGAATGATGTATTTTGTTTATAATTTTATGCTCCACCCCAATTCTCTGAATAAACATATTTATTCATAATAATATCAAATCATTACTTTAAAAAATAGCTTACATATGGGTGCCTGGCTCCTCATTCAGTGGAGCGTGCCATTCTTGACCTAGGGGTTGTGAGTTTGAGCCCCGCATTGGGTGTAGAGATTAGTTAAAAAGAAAATCTTAAAAAAATAGCTTGCATGGACTCTTACAGGAAAGGTGTGTTAAGCATTACTGCAAACATTTTGATCTATCTAGAAAACAAATAAATAACTGATAAATATATAGATACAGATGTGTGTATGTGTGTGCATGGGTGTAAACATGTAAATTCTCTGCCCCTTTTATAGCTTCTTCACAAGAAGAAAAGATCTAACATTAGTAGTCTCTCTTGAGGAGAAAAAAAAGGTGCATACTCTGTATGCTACAACATACATTTCATTTCTTATTCTGCTGATGACATTCTGCTTTTGGATTTTGGAATTTGAAGGTCTTCAGCTGCTTCCCACTGGATCATTGCCAGTAAAAAGGAGGAGAGAATAGTTTAACTTTAAAAATAAGTTACATTGGGATGCCTTGCTGGCTCAAGTTGGTAGAGCATGTGACTCTTGATCTCAGGGCTATGAGTTTGAGCCCCACATTGGGTGCAGAGATTACTTATAAAAAAGTTACTTTGCTATTTTTTAACATCCTTTAAAGGACGAAGGAATAAAATAGTTTGGAGTTCATGCTTAAAGTGGCTTTTGGCTAATTTTTAATTCAGAATTACCAATATTTCTCTAGTTCCAATTAACATAGGATTGAATTGATATTAAGAAATATCACTTGCAAATTAGTAAGATTCATAAAAGAAAGTATAACAGATGTAAACATGATGCAAGTTCTGAAATCACTTGAGGCAATATCGAATGGAAGCCTTCTTTACCAACATAAAGGTGCAAATTAAAATAATATGTCTTTGCGGCACCTGGGTGGCTCAGTCAGTTGAGCATCCGACTGGCTCAGGTCATGATCTCATGGTTCTTGAGTTCCAGCCCCATGTCAGGCTCTGTGCTGACAGCTCAGAGCCTGTACCCTGCTTTGGATTCTATGTCTCCCTCTCTGACCCTCCCCGGCTCACACTCTGTGTCTCCCTCTCTCTCAAAAATAAACAAACATTAAATAATAATAATAATAATAATAATAATAATATGTCTTTGCTTTCCTATCAAATCAATTTCACTCATTGCTTTATATTGGAAAGCTTATTTCTCTGGAAATTAGTAGATCTTCAGTATCTGCCACTTTTTCTTTTAGCCTTGGAAGGGTCACAACCTTCAAGAATCTGTTTCCTTCTGTATTTTATGGGCTTCTAATAGTTCTCTTACCTACCTCAGAGCTGTTGCCATCATTAAACACCATAATATTGGTGATATCAATATATAAACTGTAAAGCTCTTTAAAAACAATTCTAGTGGCAGATCGAACAATACACATGCCATAGGATTTTGCCTTCAAAGTAGGATTTTGATGGGATTTCCCAACTTTTTGCATTTATATAACCTATATATAAATGTTATGTGTTAACCAGTTATTATTACTTGAAATAATTCAATTTTATTGATTATTGAGAACAAGTAACCATGAATCTAATTCAATACATATCCTTTTTGTGCTTCTGTTCTCTCACTTGCCACCTGTTATCATGTTTAATCTTGGCTTGTAAATATTTTTCTGGATGAGTCGCACCATTATTGCAGTTTGAGGAGTTTGTCTTAAACCATTAAATTCATCTTATCTTTCAGGGATGTGTATAAGGCCATTTTTTCCAAGTTTTTCAAAAAATAAGAAGAGGATTTTCTTCAATAATTCCAAGTTATATATGAAAGAAAGCAGTTATAAACACTTTTCTCTTTGAGTGTTGAGGATAATCTGTATCTTTTGTAAATACATAGGGGAAAATTGGGTTTCAGTGTAATCCCTTACCTATCCAACCAGAGCCTTATTATCTTGCAACATGTGTTTCTTTTCTAGACTCATAGGTCTACCCATTGTCTTTATATGTATGTTGCAAATCACATTCTGTACCCACTCAGCTTTGGTGGCACTGCTCTCTCCATAACTCTGCTCAGTCAACATTAGATATCTTTCATTACAAGGTCAAACTCAAGTCCCCACTTCTGTTGGCAACTATTTGCATCTTCTCAAAGATAAAGAAAATTTCAGCAAATTGCAGTGCAAAAGGGCTAAAAGAAATGAGATTCTCCAAGCTACAGAAGAATTCAAGGGAGAAACAATATATCAAAAACACAACTGAAATGTAAATAATACGCTTCTAATTCAGCTAAAAATGTGACTAATTTTAAAGTATAATATTCTATATTATACTTCTTTTAAACAATATTCATATACTTGAATATATATGATTATTGCTTTCAGTATAAAATAATGGGAACTAAACTGCAAAACCATTACTATTATTTTTTGGAACTGTTGCTTTAATGACCAAATAAGAAAGTATATAAATAATTTCTTTATTATTGGAGTATAAATGGATTCCCCTTGGGAGCGAGGCTATGCTTTAAAGTTTAGCTATATTCCTAATCTGGATCATCCTGTCTACAATAATGATTTCAGTTTTGATTTATTTTGGAGATACTTAACTCATCACTGGTAACAAAATAAAACCAGGTACCCAAAATAGTACCTGGGATTCTGTCTCGCTTTCTCTCTGCCCCTCCCCTGCTTATGTGTGTGGGCTCTCTTTGTCTTTCAAAATAAATAGATTAACAAAATTTTTTAAGGATTTAAAAAGAGATAATGGATGCCAGAGACACAGAAATGCCATAATCCCTAGATCTTGGCAACTAATCAGGCTATTGAAAGACAAGGAGGAGTTAAATACCTGGAATTTTAATCCTGGTTCATTTTGGAAGATGGTCACAGCAGGACAATCAGGAAGAATTGATTGTTCCGAAGAACTGAATTAATACAGAATTTACCTTGGGCACATTTAGTTGGTACTGTCGGTGAGAAAATCTATTTAGTTCAATGACTATTTATTGAACAATTGTTATGCATAAAGCATATAAGAGGTAGAAAGAAATAAATTGGTGTTTACAAGGAAAACACATTAAATCCCAGCTTTGGGGTCAAGATATATTATTATGAGATTGAGTTTGAAATATGTATATGATTTTATTGGCACTTTTAATACATAACAAATATATATTTATGATAGAAAAATGAGAAAGTACAGATAAGTAGAGAAAAGAATTCATAATTGGATCACTGAAGATAGTTGATATCTATGTATACATCTCTGCAAATCTGTAAATAAATGAAATCCTGTTTTTTGTAGTCTTAAAAAAAATACCTGTCATTAGCATAAGTGGGGGAAATTTGTGTGCTCTAACAAGCAGAGGGCATGTGATTAATTCAGAGAGCAGAGTAGCCTCATTCTGGGGTGCATGGTACCTGGTGGGAGAATGTGAACACTACAAGAGTATCAAAGCCATAAGGTCATTGTCTGCGCTGGTGTGTTTTCCATCGCTTAAGTTCTTAGTTACATATTCTTTTGTGGAGGACTTTTTAAACAACATGTCTTTCCCCATCCACTAGGCCTAATTTTGTGTATCGTTTGTCATTTGAGAAGGAGCTGATGGTGTTTGTCTACCTTTCAGCTATATGCCTATGCAACCACTGCAGACGGCTACGCGCCAGAGTACCCGCTCCCCTTGCTATTCAAAGTTGAAGATGATAACGATAATGCTCCATATTTTGAAAACAAAGTGACTATCTTTAGTGTGCCTGAAAATTGTCGAACTGGTAAGTTCCCTTCTTAGAAAAACACTAGATTTTTGCTTTGATTCAGCTTCTCAGTCATGCTTGAAACACAAGTATGCGAAACATTTAAAAATGCTTGAATGTCAGGGGTGCCTGGCTGGCTTAGATGGAAGAGTCTGCGACTTTTGATCTCAGGGTTGTGAGCTTGAGCCCCATGTGGGGTGTAGAGATTACTTAAATAAATAAATATTTTTTCTTAAAATGCTTGAATGTCAAGGGTATTCTACATGAAACTTTGTAGTCTTACAAGATCATATACTCTTCAGAGGCAAACCTTTTTGCCCTCATTTCTTCGATGCTCATGTAGAAGGCAGCTGAATCCGCTATGAATATGAACGTGTGCAGACAAATGCTGTTTATGTTTTATGATTTGACCATGTATATAGTGTCACAGATGCCTTTATAAAGCAATAAATAATTTGAATCTTTACAAAGTTTCAATAAATTTTCAAGGACCCAGAAATAGATCATCTCATGGAAATGTTTATCTGACTTATAAAAATAAATATATTGCTTTAGTTGGCAAATTTTTCAGACAAATTAAAAAAGCTAAACTGGCTTAATGCTCTTAGGCAGCCAAGACTGTGACCTAGGCACATCAATGGGCATAGGACTATGAGGTTTATTTTAAAAGGAAAAGTTACAAGAGGGTACCTGTGTGGCTCAGTTGGTTAAGCATCCAACTCTTGATCTCGGCTCAGGCCATGGTCTCACGGTTCATGAGATTGAGCCCTGTCATCGGGCTCTGTGCTATTCGCTAATTCTATTAGCTTAGAATTCTATTAGCTATTAAGTATATTAGCTTAGAATTCTCTCTCTCCCTCTCTCTCTGCCCCTCCCACACATGCACGCTGTCTCATTCTCTCTCAAAATAAATAAACTTTCAAAAAAAGTAAAAAGTTGCAAGAAATGCCTCATCCATTCTATTGTCATTATGTATGCATGCATGTTTAATATTGTTCTTTCACAGTTAGTAGTTTGGTAAAGCAACATTTCTAATACACTGATTTCTGGGCCGTAAAGCTTGTCCAAATGATATTCAGACTGCTACACAGTATATTAATAGTTACCTGCATTTACTTGAATATTAACAATTCAGCACATTTATTAAAATATCAAAGTGTAAAATCTTTCTTGTCATATTCAAAGCTGTGCTATTCCTCTAATTAACATTATCAAGTTCAGCTATAAAAGAAGATATACAGAGAAGGTCCCATCCAAAAATAGTCCATGAACTGGGGTGGTGGGTAGGGGGGAAGAATTTGAGAACCGCTGCTACCAAGGGTGGGGTGGATATTCTCAAATGTGTGGAATATAAACCGTGTTATTCATAGTACCCACATAAGTGAAGTTTCCAAGTAAGGGGAGCTTGGAGTTTGGGAGAGCTTTAGCCGCTCCACTAACCTGTAAAATCAATCTACTTGTGGTTTTGGGGAGAATATACTGCAACCATACCTTGTTTGTAATTCAATTATATTGCTCTTTTAAATTGTTGATGATATTGCATTTATCTAAACAGGAACTTCAGTGGGACAAGTGACTGCCATAGACCACGATGAACCTGACACTCTACATACTCGTCTGAAATATAAAATCTTACAGCAAATCCCAGATCATCCAAAGCATTTCTCCATACATCCAGATACAGGTGTCATCACCACAACTACACCTTTACTGGATAGAGAAGTAATGAGCTGATTAATTAATTTTACAATCACTAAGCTATATTTAAACTGATAATGAACTCCCAGAGAAGTTACAATAAGGCATCCTACAGCCACCTCTCCCAGCTGGCTTCTATACAGGCTGTCCTTAGGGCTTCTCTGATATTTTCTTTGTCTCTACAGAGATTCGGGGAAAAAACAAGATATTAGACAAGTTCTCACTTAAAATCATTGACCTAATTTGATGTGAATGATAAAATACCTTTGCATTTTAAAAGGTTAGGTTAGGTACATCAGTTTTCTATTGTACTGACTAGCCAATCTCTTGTTCTATATTTATATTTAAGGTGGCCTTTTAAAAAAATAAAATAAAATAAAATAAAAGAAGTGTAAAATAACAAGATCCTAAGCAATGGCTATGAGAATTATAAGTTATAGGAAATATAAGTGTTCGTCAATGTACCTTTTTCTTTTCTTTTCTTTTCTTTTTCAGAAATGTGATACATACCAGTTAATAATGGAAGTGCGAGACATGGGGGGGCAACCTTTTGGTTTATTTAATACAGGAACAATTACAATTTCACTTGAGGATGAAAATGACAATTCACCATATTTTACTGAAACATCTGTGAGTACATCTTTGTATTTGTTTACCAAGGTTCACTTACTTTTTCAAAAAAAACACATCTGGAATTTGGTAGCTCTGTGAGACTACACATTTTTGGTTTTAAGAGCTACTGCTTACAGATGACATATAAACAAAAAAAGATTTTCTGTAACAATAATTGAAGGACCGGGCATTTCTAAATGCTAGGGAAAAAACTATTCTCTTGGCTGTCTAATGGCCTCTTAACCCTTGATGCTTGATGTTCATGTATTCATCATTTTCTTGGATGCCAAAGTCTGTTAGTGATGCCTTGGATTTAAATTCCTTTTATAGAGTACAGGAGAAGTGGCCCTCTCTCTGGTATCTTTCTCACTTTAACTTCCTAAGATGTTAAAAGGAGACTAGCTTTGTGTTTTCTGCTCTGCTGGGAGATCAGTAAGTAGAGTGTGCACCTCTCCCCCACTCCCCCAACCGTCATCTATATGCAGTCTTCCAACATCACATAGGAGCAAACTTTCCCTTAGGAAATACACAATACAAGAAATATATACAGGATGATACTTCCAGGAAATGGTTTTTCTTTCTTGAACTTTTAGTGAGTAATCTTCATTTTTTCATTAATCTATACCAGAGAACAAGTTAAAGAAGAGAGAACCCCTAGTGATAGGTACATTCATAGACTGTTTTATATGGATCCCTACAACTTTTAAGGGTATGTTTATCCCATACTTTATTTGAGAAAATGAAAAGTCAGTTAAATAACTTGCTCATGATCTCATACGTGTAGACCATGTAAGAGAAAAAACTGGGATTAGAATTAAGATCTGTTATACTTCAAAGGTATCAGGCTATCATCCCTCTATGAATTCATGTTACATCTCTAGAGGATTCTGATTTACTACTTTCTTTAGTCTTTTAATTAATATAATATGCTTCTGTAAACATTTATTCTTTGGAGGAAGAGGAAAAAATGTGATTTAATTTCTCAAAAAAGGAAAAACTTTTTCCTTAAAATGTTTGCTAGTGAATCAGAAGTAAATTAAAAACAAAAATTGGCATAGTAACAAATCATCCAGTAATAATAAGAAATCAATGTAGGTTATAATTATCTACAAATATTAAAGGTTCAATATGTTCATATAAAAGGGGCCAGAGACTGTAAATATTGAGGGGATTCAGAATAGAGACAAATCTGAGGGCTTGAATGATTTAGAGAAGTTTAGAAGTTAAGACATGAATTAGTCTTTGAAGAATGAGTAAGATTTGAAAAGTCAGTTTAGTGAGAAGTACACTATACATGAAATTTGTAAATTCTTTCCAATATATGATTGCACGTTCTCATATCACTTTGTTTAATATTTCTTTAAATGTAAGTTTTAGAGTAGAAAATCATGTTAATGCTATGAATTTGTAATAACAAGGGACAATTGTTTTAGTATTTTACAGAAGTAGAAGAAAACAGAATTGATGTTGAGATTTTACGAATGGCGGTACATGATCAGGACTTACCAAACACTCCTCACTCAAAGGCTATATATAAGATCCTACAGGGAAATGAAAATGGAAACTTCAAAATTAGCACAGACCCCAATACAAATGAAGCAGTCTTGTGTGTTGTCAAGGTAAACAAGAACAAAAAAACGATCAAGCAATATTTTAAAAAACACTAACTTACACTTGGGCATTGCTATCTACATATCTATATCTATATCCTATGTACTATATCTCTATATGTATTTGACTGTATGTATGTGAATAGAGACAATGCTGAAATGATTTCTATTGGTTTACATAAATGTTTTGTTATGATGATTTTGTTATGATGATGATGATGATGATGATGATGATTTTACCCTCATCTTCATTCTTAGAAGGTAAGCATTAGGGCACCTGAGTGACTCAGTTGGTTAAGCATATGGCTCTTGATCTCAGCTCAGGTCATAATCTTGTGGTTCGTGAAATTGAGCCCTGTGTTAGGCTCTGCCCTAACAGCGAGGAGCCTCCTTAGGATTTTCTCTCTCTCTCTCTCTCTCTCTCTCTCTCTCTCTCTCTGCCTTTCCCCTGCTCGTGCTTTCTCTCTCTCTCTCTTTCAAAATAAAGAAAAAAAAAGAGGAAGAAGATAGGCATTATGGGTACAAAACACATTGTTCCATATGTAGTGAAAACCAAGGCAGAGAAATACTGTATTAGTAATCAAGTATTAGTCTTAGAAGAAACCTTAGATACCCACTTGTCCAAATCCTTTATTTTATGGAACACAAGAGAGAAATAGAAGAATCACTACTGGAAGTCAAACCTCTTGACTTTTCAAGTGCCTCCATGCTCATATTATACTTTTACTTTTCTATAATGTACAAGACAGACTATTAAATATTAAGCAGCTATTCCTATTCTTTCTCCTATATTTGAGGTAGCCAGCATTTGGGGATTTTAAAAATTCAGTTGCAATTAGTGGCACCCAGAATGATTACTTGAACTAAATCTGGTTCTTTTTTCTCCCTTCAAAGTACTAATGAGGCCCGACCCTGCTTAGCTTCTGAGATCAGATGAGATCAGGCATATTCAGGGTGTTATAACTGTAGACAAATCTGATTCTTTTCAGAGTCCTTCTTTCCAGAGCCCTCACTAACCTGTTGCATAACTTTCCTGATTAATTTCTTAGGGACAGTGTATTTTCTTATGTACTCTTGTGCATATATGCACTCTTGTGTATATATGCACAAGTTGTACTTTCCTCCTAAGATTTTTAGAAAATGCCATTTAATTATTATATTGCTTTTTCTTTCTCTCACTCGTCTTGTTCTTTCTTGGGTTTTTTGTTTCTTTCTTTTTGTTTTTTTGAGGGGTCTAGGTTTCTTTCTCTTGCTTTCCTTTTTTTTGTTGTTGTTGTCCTGATAGATTTTAGTCTCTAATTGTTTAACTTTTGTTTCAAGATGCTTCTCATTATTCAGTTCAGAACTGAGCACTTTGATTAGGAGCTATACAAACCTAAATATAATCATTAAAAAAACATAAATATAACGTACTTCAGTAATATCATAACTTTTACTCATACAAAGCAACTGCTCCATTATAGCCAAATCTCATGTTCTAGTAGTCTGATTATTTTATATATTTCTATTTATACTTTTTATATATCTCTTAGTTATCACTGTTACCTCATTTGATAAATTTGGATTTATTCAAACACTTATTCTATATTTCTATTAATATTTAAACCTGTAATGAAAAAAGTGAAGGCAAGACATTCTGAAAGAAAAGGGAGAAGAAAAATTGGTTGAATCGTCAACAATTTTGTATTTGATAGTGTTTGTTTCTCATTATAGGAAGTTAACTATTTGTCTTTAACTACATTAGCACCTGCTTTGGGTAACATTTTATATGCAAAAATGATATTCCTTTTTGTGCTAAAACTTGGAATCATACTTATAAGTCTTCTGTTATATACAGTGCTCCAAATTGACTGATTAAAGTATGCTTATTGAACAGCCATTGAACTATGAAGTGCATCGCGAGGTTGTTTTGCAAATTGGTGTACTTAATGAAGCACAATTCGCTAAAGCAGCAAACTCAAAAGCTCCTACTATGTGCACTACAACTGTCACTGTTAAAATTAAAGACAGTGATGAGGGCCCTGAATGCCAACCACCAGTAAAAGTTCTTCAGAGTACAGATGGCCTCCCAGTTGGAAAAGAACTCCAGGGATACAAAGCGTTGGATCCGGAAACACGCAGCAGTGAAGGCTTAAGGTAATGTATTCTTCAAAATAACATATTTTGAGATTATGTTCAATCTTTGGTTTGAGCATTTACATTTGATTTCTAAAAATTAGGTATAAGAAGATAGGAGATGAAGATAACTGGTTTGAAATTAATGAACACACTGGTGACTTGAGAACTATAAAAGTGCTAGATAGAGAATCAAAATTTGTAAAACACGACCAATACAATGTTTCCGTGGTTGCAATGGATGCAGGTGAGTACAGTTTTCTAGAAATACAGGATGTATCTTTAAGGAAATCTTGGGGTGAACTTTGTTTATTGCCAGATCCAAACTTAGTGTGAAATATGTTTGCACTGACTGCTCAATTTATTGGAGACCATCCAACATCAGCTCTAGTGCGTCAGTAACACAAAGCTAGGAGGTGATGAATGAATGGCCAGAGACACGGTGGCCTCCTCCAGGATCTCCAGTCTTCAGGAGTACAGATTTAGATTATTATGGTTTGAACTTGCTGAAAGGGTTTAACCCACCTATAACAGTGGCTCAAGGTAAGTTTGTTCTGAGCGTCTCGTAATGGGTAACAAAGCACTTAATCGTATTTCCTAAGAAATGATCAAACAATGACTCTTCAGTCTTTTGCTGTGGCTTACAGTCCTTCTGCTTAATTCTAGAACTTTTCTTGTGAAGAAGTGTCCTTCAGATATCATAAAGTAGTGTTTTCAAAACCCTTTTGAACGAACACTCCTACAGTAAACCATTTTTGAATGTGCACCATTGTAATGTGTGCCCTGACAGTTTCGTTTGTTTTGTAATGCAAGTGCTTGCCTGACTTAAGCTTTGATTGCTAAGGCATCCACTTCAAAGATGGCTATCTGCCATCTAGTCTGCCAAGCAGACTAGACAAAGACCCAAGCCACATCCCAATACCCCACGCTCCTTCATTTTGCTTCATCTTGCTTGCTTTCAATAACTGACCACTGGGGTTGCTTGTGTTTTCACTTCCCAGTGCTTTAAATTCTTGCTCCGATATTTTAAATTCACCAGTAAAGAATGAGCTCCAGAAACCCTTAGCCCCAACTCTTGACCCCGATAAAAGCAGTACCCCAGGCTTGCTTTTTTTCTTCCTGCCCACGACAACCTTGCTGTGTGGCCTCAGCTGAGCCACATAATTTCCAGGACCTTTTTTCTCCAAAAGCCTCCTGATGGCTAAGGCACCTTGCAATCATCTAAGAACCACAAGGGTCAGTCCAGCCACAAAATTGGTTATCCACTGGCTGAGATCCGCACACAGCAACCTCCCTATATTTGCCAGTATGTTTGTATACATGTGCTACTATTACTAATGTATATACCATAAAAATACACGAACAAGCAATTGTTAAATGTTACTCCCATGTGTCCAAAATACTTAGGTTTCAAAATCTAAAAGAAAATGTAAATGTGGCTATCATTACATAACCATGTACATATGATCTTCCCTTCCTCTTGATATCTCTCACACAGGCTTTTGATGTAGTTCTTTCAATATAGGAAGGACAAAAAAGCTACCAAAGAATGGTGAAAACATTAGCTGAGAAATATGATGTTGCCACCACTCTAAAACCATGGGCGATTTGCTACTCTTGTATAAACAAAAGTGAAATCTGAATGATTCAAGAACATGATTATTATGTCATTCAGAAGGATTTATTTCTCCTCATTTATTCCACAAATGTTGACAGTCTAGTAAGTTCCAAGTACCAGGCATGTTACCATGAAAACTAGAATTCATAACACTGGGCAAATTCTCACATGATACCAGTTAAAGGACTATTAAATTCTCATAAGAGGTTCTTGGTATGACAACTTTCCCCATAAATGTATGGATATCATAAGAGGGAGAAATCAGTTAAGAGCTGCCCAGATTAAAGGATAAAGGGAGATTTCAAGAAATGAAGAAGGTTGGTGATAGAAAAATGAAATACTATTTGAAGAGAAGGAAAATATGGAGAACAGAAATATGAGAAATTAACTTTGTCTTTGGTTGCTAAAAGTACAAGGAAATGAAATGCCAAATCTAAACTGTAAGATTCTATGTCCCAGGCTCATGAATAACCTGGGTGTGCTCAAGAAGAAATAAAGACATGGATATTACAAGTATTAATATAAGACGATATGGTAACACCAATGCTTTTGTTCATTTGAACTTTAATCCATTAATCTGTATTTCCAAGGACCAAATATATAAGTAATTACTTATAGTTCCACGTGAACATTTACTTTTGATGCTCATAAATATTTCAGGATGATGACCCAGACATTCTTCTAGCTTTCCTAGAATCCAATTTATTTGCTTTGTTTCTTGTGTTAGTCTTCTTTGTTAAGCAGGCTGGTTTCCCCGCTGTCACTCTAGAAAACACTGTTTTATACACCCTCTGCCTAGTGTAGCACTGTCCCACCTGTTTGAGATTCAGGTCCCTTAACTTCAAATGAATGGCAATGACATCTGTGATTGTTTCCACTCGTTTGTGTTCAGGTCTTCTCTTAATACTTCATAAGGCCCCCTTCCCAGGGAATAATATGTTAATTATCACAGGTGATGTGTCTTCTCTATAAAAGGATGTTTCATTGTTTCTCATTTATATTCTGTTCCTGTAACTAGATTGATTGTGAAAATTAACACATCTTTGTTAGTTTGGTGATTTTGAAGTTGTTACTTGTGTTCAGATTTAGCTACAAATTTCTGGAAGTATCAAAATGTTTATATCCTATTGCAGATTTCTTACTAGAAGATCTAGATCTTTCTTTTATTTGTAGATATTTTAAAATTTGTTCACATAGAATAGTTTCTAAATAGGTATATAGTGGGTGCCTTTTGTTAAGTAATTTAAAAGTCACTTTTAATAAATTAATTTTATAGTTATTCAACAGAAAAAAAATCACTAAAGCATTCAAGATATCACTTAAGTCTTATTTCAAACTAAAAATGGATGATATTTATATATGATTTGTAGTGGTGTTTATGATAAATTCAACATATACGCTCAAAATTTAGACTGGTATTTGAAGCAAAAAAAAGAAAACTTATCAATTATTTTTCTGTTTATTTCAATTTTGAAAGCTTGTCATTTATTGTAGTTTATTATCCTATCACAAATGATAAATTTTAAACTTGTTATTTGAGCTGCATGATCGTTTAAACACAAATAATGGGCAATGTTGTCATTAAAAATATTTATGGAGACTTAATGTGTAAAGTATTAGTACAATACCAGTGGCCATCTAGAGATGAGTAAGAACTCCTATTGTCAAAAACATATTTATTGAATGAGGGAGGGGGTGCAAATTTATTTTTATAGTTTATTCAACTAAGTTTTTTGGAAAGTATAAAATAGTAATAGCATTACTATTATGTTCAGTGTGTTAGTATGAAGTTATAAGTTAGCGAATAAATGCTGGGAAGATCAATAGTCTATCAAGGTGAGTATGACTCAGTTCTTAGGACGAACATGTTCACAGTTCAGTGTGTGAGTCAATGATGAGCAAAGTTCTGTGGGAACTCAAAGGAGAATATTGCTACCATTGTCCATATAAGTCACAGCAAGTTTCACGAGGAGGCGATATTTGAGGGGATTCTTGAAGGATAACCAGATTTTGTCAGGCAAAGAGAAAGACAAAAGTATTCCTAGCAGTGGCAACAGAATGTACCAAAGCAGACAAGAAGGAGCACACCTCGTGGGTTTGATAAGTTTCACAAAGTCTGAGCAAAGAGGATGTGAGGAAATGAGTCAGGAGAGGAAGTCAAAGGAAGTGACTGATGACCAAAGCCTTTGTATTTTCAGGATGAATATATGCTCTTCAGAAAGGTGTAAGAAATCAATTTTATTTTCAACTGGTTGCTCTGTAGTGATATTACTCATAATCTCATACCTTTTTATTTTAAAAAGCACCTCAAGATACCTGATACAGCCATCAATCTTTAAGGAAGAGTGACATGTCACTATTTGTACTTGTAGCAATAGTATTTGTGCTCTAAAAAGTGTGTGAAATTCAAGTTCAGATAGCCAGTAGAAAGCAGATGTCATCTGTGTAGCGTAGAGATGTTGAAAATAAAATCTTAAGTAAAAAATATGCTGGTTTTAATCTTTCTTAGCTGGCAGATCATGCACGGGAACCCTGGTAGTTCTTCTGGAAGATAATAACGATCACCCACCGCAAATTGATAAAGAAGTGACAATTTGCCAGCATGCTAAGGATTATGCCGTTCTCGAACCTGTAGATGCAGATGGACCTGAGAATGGTCCACCTTTTGAATTCTTTCTGGATAATTCTGCCAACAAACTTTGGAATTTAGAAACAAAGGATGGTGTGTAATTCTGCTTAATCTTCTAATCATTAGGAACTTAGGATGGCTGATGATGTTGACATTCACTTTAGTTCATTATGATGAACATTCATTTTAGGAAATTATTTTATTGATCCCCCAAAAAGGTAATACCTTGCCTTTTATTTATTTATTTTTGAAAAAAACCCTTGTTAGCTTTAATGAACCTCCTTCCACATGGCTTCAGGCTACCAGGATGCAGAGCCCCTCACCCCACACCCCACTGTAGCTTCTCTGCTCTTCTACTGGAGAACCTGGCCTTCACGATGACAGGCTGTCTGGGGAGCTTTCCCTTCCCCAAAACTTTGCAGTAGCCCGATCGGACCACATCAGTGATGGGAGCAGCTCCAGTCTTGTTTTTGACAGCACGTACCCATGTCTGCTCACTGACTAAAGTCCACGCTGTATCAAGGTTATCCGTTGGGCAGAGCTCTGGTTCCTCTTTACCTGGTAATGCCTTCTACCAACTTTTCCAAAGTGACGTAGGTGATATTTGTTGAAGTTGATCCTATGAAGTTGATCCTATGGTGGTGCATGTCACTAGCATTATTTATTACCCTGGCCTCCTGGCTGCTTCTGGGACTTGCTGATGCAACTGTGGCTTTGGCTCATGTGACCCCGAAGGTTCTGGGTTTTCCTCAGTGTGGATGGCATGTTGCAGCCCAGACAGGAACAATACCTTACTTTTTTTTTTTTTTTTTTAAGTTTATTTATCTTGAGAGAGAGAACCGGTGGGGAGGAGTAGAGGGAGAGGGGGACAGAAGATCCGAGGCAGGCTCTGTGCTGACAGCAGAGAATCAGATGCGAGGCTCCAACCCATGAACTGTGAGATCATGACCTGAGCCAAAGTTGGACGCTTAACAGACTAGGTCACCCGGAGCCTGAATACCTTACTTTTTTTAAAGAAATGCATAATATATTTATGTTTAGACTCTTGTTCCAAAAATCTTTTAAGAAAACATATAAATATAATATGTGAATAACATTAAGTATAGCTTAGCCTAATATAAGTGGAGAGTAATATTAATTAATTTTCCTAGTTTTTCAAGAAATCAAAATCATTTTTAAGAAATAAAAATGAACCGCTAGCATTTTTCCTTTAAGCTAAATCCTGCACCTTCTCTCCTCCTCCCTCCACCCCAAGAATACCAAGGAAGAATAATATTGCTATTGAAAGGTCATAGGGGTGCCTGGGTGGCCCAGTCAGTTGACTGTCAGACCTCAACTCAAGCCATGATCTTGCAGTTTGTGAGTTCAAGCCCCGCATCAGGCTCTGTGCTGACGGCTAGGAGGCTGGAGCCTGCTTCCACCCTGTGTCTCCTCTCTGCCCTTCCTGCTCACGTCTCTAAAAAAAAAAAAAAGTCATATAAGTATATTTTTTCTTTGCCTTTTTTTCCCTCTAGGTAAAACTGCCATTCTTCGTCAGCGACAAATTCTTGACTATAACTATTATACTGTGCCTATCATAATAAAAGATAGACATGGTTTAGATGCAAAACACATGTTAACAGTGAGAGTATGTGACTGTACAACCCCATCTGACTGTAAGATGAATATTAAAAATGTGAGAGATTTTAAGCCATCAAATGTAATACTTGGAAGATGGGCTATTCTTGCCATGGTGTTGGGTTCTGCATTGCTGTTATGTAAGTATAATTATCTAGAATGTATTAGTTGAAGTTTTATCTAATATTTAAAATATATATATGGTAATTCTTTATTTAATGGCCTTTATAGCCTTTGGTAAATGTGTCCTTTTGAAAATCTTGTATGTACTGTATGACTTGGGGTTCTGATTCACAGAAGAAACTTATCAGCAAGAGCAGATTAAATTCAAAGTAATTTTCAGAGGTGTCCCCTTAGTTCTTCCAATGATAAGCTGTGAGATACTGGATAAATCATTTCCGCTTCTTTGAGCTCATTTTTCCATAAGTAAAATAAAGAGGTTGTAGAAAAGTAATGTTAAGATTCCATCCCATACAAAACAGTCTTTTAACCAGTCAAGTTTATCCACAAAAAGAATAGTGAAGAGTACTTCCAAAACTCACTTAGATGTTTATGCTCAATGTTATTAATGAAGTGATTTAACATACATTTTTTTAAGTTTATTTACTTATTTTGAGAGAGTGTGTGAGTGGGGGAGGGACAGAGAGAGAAAGAATCCCAAGTAGGTTTCAGACTGTCAACACAGAGCCCGACATGGGGCTCCATCCCATGAACCTTGAGATCATGACCTGAGTGGAAATCGGGAGTGGGACACTCAACTGACTGAGCCACCCAGGCGCCATGATTTAACATACATCTTAAGAAGACTCCAATGAGAGGCACCTGGCTGGCTCAGTCAGAGGAGGCAACCCTTAATCTCTCAGGATGGTGAGTTTAAGCTCCACATTGGGTGTAGAGATTACCTAAAAGCAAAGAAATAAACAAACAAACTTAAAAAAAAAATAAGAAAAGAACATTAGAACTCTTAAAAAAAGAAACAAACAAAAAGGAACCCAGTGTGTGGAAAATGGTCGTATGGTAAGCCACTGAGGAAAAGTAATGCATGCAAAGAATGTTAAGATTTTGCGTTCTTCAAACTGTTGTTTTAGAGATGCAAAAGTGATGGAAATCACTCCCCACACTTCTGTGCCCTTCCTTCCACTCACACTCCCTTTCCTTTCTTTTTTAACAGTTTATTTTACTCTATAATCTATCTGCATTTAGAGACTTTCCCCATAGTTTTTACTGTGTCCTAACTCATTGATTTGAGTTTCAGGTGAAATAGGATGTTCCCCTTAGCACTATTAGTAGTCGGCATACACTTTCAAAATTGGGCACTGATTTTATGTAACTGCCTTTCATGTTTGTATTTATGCCTAATACCCTTTAAGTGGGTTCTGTATGGATTTTAAGTACCAACAACACAAGCTTAAATTTCCATCAAAGGGAGTTGCCGTTTGAGTGTGGAGGAAATAAGAGAATCATTGAAGTTAATTCTGAACTTGGGAAGAGACTTGTTAATAAACTATGCTCACTTCATCCTTATTACTTTTTATTGATTTCTTTCTCATTTAGCCTACTAATCTCAATAAGACAGAGATGGTCTATATACGAATACATTTGTTAATATCCTGTTTTAAATTTTATGACCCAAAAAGATCTCAATTTATGGAACAAAATTTTTTTAAAGTTCTGTGAAGAAACTTAAAAGAAAAATCATACGATTTAAATGATTTAATATATACTTGCATGAAAAAATACTATTTTACTTAAATGCTTTTTATTTTTTAGGTATTCTGTTTACTTGTTTCTGTGTTACTGCTAAGAGAACAGTAAAGAAATGTTTTCCAGATGTAGCCCAGCAAAATTTAATTGTGTCAAATACTGAAGGACCTGGAGAAGAAGTGATGGTAAATTAGATTCCACTTTCCTATGAATTGTTTGGTGATGGATGATAACAGTTGATTATCATGTAGTAACAGTAATAATAATAACAGCTAATGTTTATTGAGCACTTACTATGCCAAGCAGAATTTCACATGACCTGCATACATTAATTCATTTAAACTTCATGATTCTATTGTATTAGTTTCACAGGACTGCAAAGAATCACAAACTGGTAGTTCTTGTATTATGGCAACATAAATCACATCTTCGGTTGGCATTCTCTCCATGTGTGCATGTCTGTGTTTAAATTTGGCCTTTGGATTAGGGACCCACCCTAGTTGAGTATGACCTCATCTTAGTTTAACTAAATGCATATCTAATGACCTGTTTTCAAACAAATTACATTCTAAGACCCTGAAGGTTAGGACTTCAATATGTGAATTTTGGTGGGGAAGAAATGAAAGCAAACTGTTAGCTTCAATTTGATTCATTCATTTTATAACTCTAACTTTATTTTTAGGAAGCAAATATTAGACTGCCCACACAGACATCCAACATTTGTGACACAAGCATGTCTGGTGGCACTCTTGGTGGCCAAGGAGTCAAAACACAGCAAAGCTTTGAGATGGTCAAAGGCGGCTACACTTTGGATTCCAGCAAAGGAGGTGGACATCAGACCCTGGAATCTGTCAAGGGAGCAGGACAGGATACTGGCAGATACACATACACAGACTGGCACAGCTTCACCCAACCTCGGCTTGGCGAAGTGAGTGCCGATGTCTTCAAGATGATATTACATGAGAGTTTAAACACGATTTATAAGTCAGGATTTCCCAGAAGTTTTACTCTCCATGCACCTAGAACTCATCAGCTTTTTAGTGTTTAATTACCATAGATATAGATTTCAGGCCCAAACCCAAAGGCAAAATGATCTTTTAAAGTTTAATTTTTAAAATAACATTTATGAAACTACAGAACCATCTAGGAGTGGCATATGTAGACATGTTTAGGAGGTATAAAAAGACCAATAGCTTCTTCCCCCAAAATTAGCAGGAAGATCACCTGGAGTGAAAGATTTATGTGGACTGATCATAAATTGTAAATATTTTTTGGTGTATTAAATCTTCTGTGTAGTCATTAAGTACCGGCTACCAGCATCAATCAGGTAGACTGTTAAGTTTTTATTTTGGGTGTTAGTTCCTTGTTTTATGTTCAGATTAATCAATATTGACTAATATTAGCCACTTTAATATATTACATTATTATCACTATATAATAATGTATAAACAGAAGAATCATAACCTATATTGGTCCCCCAAATACGTGAAGAAATTACACAGATACGCTGCAACTATGCAAATCTTATGTCAAATGGGAAATTGTAAGTTAGCTTTGTGATATGTGTGTAGCTTTAAGTTTCATAAATGTGTTCACTAGGAGCATTTATATATCTGCTATATTTTCAGAATGAATATAATACAGACCAATCATGTGCATTTTTTATATGTAGGAATCCGTTAGAGGACACACTCTGATTAAAAATTAAACAGTAAAAGGTAAATCAAAGACATTATTTTTAAGCTAATATGTTTAGGTGTTTTTAAAAAAATAATAAAATGTGCTCTTTTTTGATACAGAAGGTGTATCTGTGTGGACAAGACGAGGAGCATAAACATTCCGAAGACTACGTTCGTTCGTATAACTATGAAGGAAAAGGGTCTGTGGCCGGCTCTGTAGGCTGCTGCAGTGATCGGCAGGAAGAAGAAGGGCTTGAGTTTCTTGATCATCTGGAACCCAAATTTAGGACGCTAGCAAAGACGTGTGTCAAGAAATAAAATGTGCGTTTTAATGGAGAAACATCCACAAATGCATATGCGGGAGTTTATTAAATGTAAAATGATAGCAGCATCTGCTAGTATGTTTGTTTATTGGAGGTAAACTTCGAGTCATGTATAGATAAGGATACTATAAATACAAAACTCCTCTAAATTCTCCTCGTCTGATATAACTTCCATGTTCTCTAGAAATAGAAGTTTCATGTGTTAATTTTCTTTTATATGCATGTATATATTGCCCTTTTCAGCACTGTGCTGTGTGCTTTCTTTCATCTTCCGTGTGGGAATTTATGGTACCCTGTATGCTATAGAAGTGGATGGTGGGAGAGCTGGGTATTGTGGAGGCAAATGAGAAATGAATTTTAATTTTAGATGAAAATTAAATATTTTCTTCAACAACATGGGGAGGTTGCTCTTAGAAACGCTCTTAGAAATATTGTCTTTGGTGCCAGAGAATTGATTCCTCTACCTGAGTGGCTATGTATTGAAGGATTTTTAAGTATTCTTTGGTACAGTCTTCAGTTTGGTAAATAGGTGTTCGTTTCTCACTACACTTTTCACCCTGCGGAGGTGTTCCCAGTACTGTGCTTTCAGGGGCCTTCAGCGCTTGGTCCTTGGATCTCTGTCTATATGGATGTGTAATCAGATTCCTACAGCTTCTAGACTGTGGGAAAGACAGGAGCAGAAGAAGCTCAGGGCAATTTGGGCCACAGAGATTTTGTAAGGATCAGATGGGAGGATGTACTATTACCTTTTTAAAATGTAAATACCTTGGCAAGAACATGCGCTCTCTAGTTTGACAGAGGCCCACCATCTTCAAGCATTTGTGAAACCAGCCTGGAAGGCATTAGACTTGCAACCCTGATCCATGGTGCTTAGACCTTTAAATATGCTAAAAATGGAATGAGCATCCGTAATAGAATTTAATACTCTGCTTACATTGGTAATTACTTTAAGAAAATTGAAAATCAGAAATAATGAATTTCTGGCATGTAAATGTTAAACCATTGAAATGAATGATGGATAAATGGACACGAGTTAATAAATTATTTTGAATATATAACATCTTAATAGGATATTACATTAATTAATTTAGAAAGAAATATCCATTTAAATAATATTTTAATAGTCTTTGTGCCAAACTCTATAAATTTACAGTGACAGTATATATCACACAGAAATTTCTCATTCAGACAAAAAAAAATGTTTCTTTTTTAAAAATCTATTAACTGGTTAACAATTGAAAAAAGAGTGGTGATTTTTTAAAATTTTGTAAGTAAAATTTTGTAATTAGTCCTCTGATTCTCAATTACCGCTTTGAATTAAAGGTGTTTCTTGATGTGAAATTCGATATTAGAGCAGAATAAAAAAAGTAGTTTTAATAAATAAGATTTTATTTTATAGGATGTCAACAATGTATGATTTTTATAGCAATTGTGAGTAAAATAATTTTGGGGGGTAATGAAATTTCTGTTGTCTGACATATATTATGCGAAGAATGGTACCAGTTTTGAAATTTTTAAATATAATGTTAAAATTTGGAATATATTCATGCCATGTTATATTCTTGAATATAGGTGCAGAATGTTTTTTGAACAATTAAAAATCTTTAGCTGAACATTAACTTATATGTGTTAGTTTATGTTTTCATTTCTTACGTTTACTTAAATAGGAAAGAGAAATTTTATATCTGAACGTAAAGTACAATTAGAGGCCAAAGGTTAGCAAAACAAGACACTTTAAAAATATTAGCAGAATTGTTAGAAGGTGTGGAAAATGAATTTGTTTAAGCAGTTTTGGCTATTATAAATATTTTCAAATATTATTAAAAATTATCTCACAGAGGAACTATGACTTGTCTTTTAGTTAGGAAATTCGCATTCTCTGTTTACACTCAAAATTAAATGTTATTTGTATGACTGAGAAAATTTATGAAACTCCATTGTACTGTTGACCAATTTAGTTTGTTAATAAAACATTGTATTTTATGGATTATTTCATATAAGTTAACCATCAATTGTCAATAAGTGAATCGGTATGAATTGTTTTTCTGTAATTAAATCTGTAGTTAGGGAAAATATACAAGTAAATTTTTCTTATCTTGATTCAGATCTCAAAGTATTTCATGTGAAAAAATTCCTTGGGAGCACCAAGATAGATGAAAATTGATATAATTGCTATAATAATTGGCTTTGTTAAATACCTCTTTAACTTTGCCAAGCTTTCATTTCCCCTGAGTTGATTAAAAATGTTTTATTAAACTTGGTATCTATGCTTATGCTTACTTTTAGAAAATGGAATATGCTGTGTTATTTGGAAATTGCTCACAATAGATGTTTTAGAGTTGAGGATTTTTATGATCACAGAAAAGAAAAGCCAACTCCATTTTGTGGTGTCTTAGCTTTAAAAGTCCCGTTCCAGTAGAAAACCCTCGGTTAGATTAGGGTAATGAAACAAAACAGACCGTGTGTATTGCTAAACATCTCTGGTCTCTTATCTGCTTTTCTAGTAAATCCAAAGGAACATTCCATTTGTCCAGATACTGCATTTGGTTTTCTGCTTACACAGGGAAAAGAAAATAAAACTGTAGCAGGGGAAAACATTACTAAGAATGGATGGACCCCTGTGTATTTTGTAAGGTTCAGTAAAATTAAGTGAGCATAATTTAAAAAAAAACTCTTTGGTAGTGTTGCATTAAAAAAAATAAAAATAACCACACTTAATCTGAAATCCTTACCACTAACAATAGAATTACCACTTCCAACTATACAAATAGACTGTTTTTTTTTTTAATGTTTAGTTTTGAGAGAGAGAGAGAGA